AATAAAGAAATCATCCAGACTTATTTATCGAAACTATGGTACAATTATTCGCACCCTAGGAGAATTAATCTTTGTATTCTACCCGTCCTTGATGGGACCGCTATTATAAATTGATTATATCTTTCATTTTCGTTGAGCTCCATTTTCTTCAATTGGATCTCGGATCGCAAGTCCATCATCACAGATCGAACAAAGAAACGTCAAGGCCGCGGTGCTTGCCTAAGCACTTAAGGCAAATGAAAAGCTATAGGAGATGGAAGCCTATTGCCGTATTGCAAAATCTTCTGCAAACGATCAACGCACATCTTGCACTCCGACTGCAATTGGAGCTCTTGCAGGTGACGCAAAGTCACCATTGATAGGTTTTGAAACGAATATGAGGGATGATCAGATCGAGCGTTGCGTAGAACCTAAAAAAGTTTGAGAGATACACTCTGTTTGCATGTCTACATAATTTTTATATAACTAAAAATATAATTAACACCTGATTTTTGAATAAAATTAGTTAAGTCTTAATTAGTGATAATGTAATCTTAAATCCATGTTTTCCTGAAATTTCCTCTTCTTCTTCTTCTAGAAGATGATAGGTGCTGGTCGGGCTTGTTAATGGTGGTGTTGAGCTAAGATGTGTTGGGTTGGGCCTATTGTATTGGAGGAATGTGTTTGCGGCTGTTTAGTTAGTGGGCTTCGTTTTGTTGGGTAAATATTGGATGTGGTTAGTGGGCTGGTTAATTGGGTGTTGCTAAGTGGGCCTGCCTGAAAATATGTTTTGGTTTGTAGCGGTAACAAATAAAGGAGTAATTCTATAATTGAATTTCTCGAAATTTTCTTTCTTTCTTTCAAAGAACTGGAAATAGCAAACTGCGACAATCATTATCTTCAATCTCTTATTTTACACACTCATTTTCAATCTTATATTCACACAATAAAATACTCTGTTAGTAAACTCTAAATTTTTCCTATTTTTTAACTACGCATTCTCCTAAAAATTACTATTTAAAACTTTGTTTTCACCAATTTTAGAAATAGAAAACTTGCTTTGCATTTATTTTAAGCAAATCCTCACTTTTGATAAAATTATACTTAAATTTTATGTAGGGTATGCAAGAATACTTTAAAATGTGATGCAAATTGTTTAATTGGCATCTATTCTAAGCAAATCACTACTTTTGGTTAAAGTTATACTCGAATTTTATGATAGGGGCATGAGAGAATACTTTAAAATGTTATGCTAATTTTTTAATTTGTATCTATTTTAAACAAAAGTTGAAAAAAAAAGGTTAAAAAAAAAAAAAAAAAAAAAAAAAATACTACAGATTTAACTTTGCGTAGGTTCAAATTGAACCACTCAAGATTCCTAATCAAAACAGCATAAATTACTAAATAGTGATCATATGTATATATGTATACATATGTATACATATATACATATGATCACTATTTAGTAATTTATGCTGTTTTGATTAGGAATCTTGAGTGGTTCAATTTGAACCTATGCAAAGTTAAATCTGTAGTATTTTTTTTATTTTTTTTGAACCTATTCTTAGCAACTTCTGGTTGAAGTTATAATTAAAAGTTTGTGGTAGGGTATACAAGAATCTTTTAAAATATGATGCTAATCTTTTAATTTGCCTCTATTTTAAGCATATATTCAATTTTGGTTAAAGTTTTACATAAATTTTGTGTGATAGCGTATACGAGAATACTTTATATTATGATGTTAATCTTTTACTTTGCGTTTATTCTAAACAAATTTTCAATTTTCTATTAAAGTTATACTTAAAAGTCTATGATAAGGAACACAAGAATAATTTAAAATGTGATACTGATTTTTTAATTTGCGTTTATTCTAAAAAAAAAAAAATTCACTTTTGGTTAGACACTACTAAAAAACAGTTTTTCACCTACGGAAAATTATCAACGGATGTAATCCGTTGGTAATTGGAAACGGATTATCCGTTGGTAAAAGTAATTCACTTTCAACTATGATAATAAGCAACGGATTTTTCGTTGGTAACAATGATATCTTTTTACCAACGGATATTCAGTGCATAATGTAACCGTTTAACATTTGGATTTTCCACCTACAGAATGACGTACCAAATATTACCAACGGAAACAATCCATTGGTAATTAAAAACGGATTATCCGTTGGTAAAAGTAATTCACTTTCAATCACGATAATCAGAAACAAATTTTTCATTGGTAATGATAATATCTCTTTACTAACGGACATTCTGTGCCTAATTTGACCATTTAACATTTGAATCTTTTACCTACAGATATTCCGTTAGTAATTAAAAAAGGATTATCCGCTAATAAAAGTAATTCAATTATCTCACATCGAAAGTTTACAACAAAATCTTTGGAGTTGTCCTCTATAAATTTGTGGTCCAATAAGTGGTTAAAAAATATTTTGGCTTTTCAATTCAATTGTTTAAAAGTTTTAAAAAATTATAATTATTAAATAAATAATAATAACAATAATTAAAAAAAAAGTAAATAATTTATTTATTTTACCATGCCTCACACCTATACGACTATTTACAACATTGATTTTTACCAATTGTAATGGTAGACATTTACCAACGGAAAGTCGGTTGGTATTGGTTAAGATTTTTACCAACGAAAATTTCGTTAGTAAAAAATTCATACATTGCCAACGAAATTTCTGTTAGTAAAATGTTAACTTTTTACCTACTGCACAATCCGTTGGTAACTATCAGCGACCCTCAAATTAAAAACGGATTTGTGGTTGCAAATATTCCGTTGGTAAAAAGTTATAACAACAGATATCAAGGTTTTAGGAACGAAAAATTCGTACGTGAAGCCATGTTTTTTTAGTAGTGAGAGTTATACACAAAAATCAATGATAGGTGATATGAGAATACATTAAGCCCCTATTTGGTGGCTATTACTTTCAAAAAACAATAATTTGAATAGTAATTTTTAGGAGAATATATGGTTAAAAAATAAGGAAAAATTATTGATTTCCATGCAGAATATTTTATTATATAAATGTGCAGTTGAAAATGAGTATGTAGATAAAAGAGTTTGAAAATAATGATTGTCAAACAAGAGGTAAAATGCAATACAAGTTTTTTAATTTGCATCTATTCTAAGCAAATCTTCACTAAAATCCTATGGTAAGGTTTAAGAGAATACTTTAAAATGTAATGTTAAATTTTTGTACTATGCGTCTTTTCTAAGCAAAATCTTGACTTTTGGCTATAGTTAACTATACTTAAATTTTATTGCAGGAATGATTTACGAGAATACTTTAAAATGTGATGCTAACTTGCATCTATTCTAAGCAAATCTCACTTTTGGTTGAAGTTATACTTAAATTCTTTGGTAGGGTATACGAGAATACTTTAAAGTGTAATGTTAATTTTTTAATTTGCGTCTATTATAAGCCAATGCTAACTTTTATTAAAGTTATACTTAAATTCTAGGGTGGGATTTACGAGAATACTCTAAAACATGATGCTAATTTTTTAATTTGCATCTATTCTAATCAAATCTTCAATTTAAAAGTCTAAGATAGGGTATACGATGATACTTTAAGATGTGATGTTAAATTTTTTTTTTTTTCTATTATGTGTTTACACATTTGGTAATAGTTAATCTTAAATTCTATGTTTAGGTTTACGAGAATACTTTAAAATGTGATGTTAATTTTTCAATTTTTCGTCTATTCTAAGCAAATATTTACTTTTGGTTAAAGTTATAATTAAATTCTATGGTATGCCATATGTTTAAAATGTGATGCTAAGTATTTTTAATTTGTGTCTATTGTAAGTAAATCTTTACTTTTGGTTATGGTTGTACTTAAATTCTATGGTAGGGCATACGAGAATACTTTAACATGTGACGTAAATTTTTTAACTATTCTAAGCAATTCTTCACTTTTGGTTAAAAATATACTTAAAAGTCTATGGCAGCATATATGAGAATACTTAAAAATGTGATGCTAATTTTAATTTTAATTTTTTTTAATATGCATTCTAAGCAAATCTTCACTTTTGGTTATAGTTATATTTAATTATATGTTAATGTTTACAAGAATACTTTAGAATATGATTCTAAATTTTTTTAATTTGGGTTTATTCTGAGTAAATTTTCACATTTAGTTACAGTGATAATTAAATTCTATGGTGGGTATACGGGAATACTTTGAAATGAAAATAATAATAATAATAATAATAATTTGCATTTCTTCTAAGCAAATCATCACTTTTGATTAAAGTTATACTCAAATTTTATGGTGGATTTACGAGAATACTTTAAAATGTTATGCTAATTCTTTGATTTGCATCTATTTTAAGCAAATCTTCACGTTCGGTTAAAGTTATGCTTAAATTCTAAGATAGATTTAAAATGAAATGCTAATTCCAAACACCCTTGCTTTTAACTTTCTAAATATTTGTACTTATTGGGTAGGAATTTTGATAATTAATTTTTTGACTGTGAAGCCCTATTTGATTGCAACATTTTTCATGGAAAATGTCACATCCAAGGAAAATAATTTTCACTTTGACTATTTGATTCGCATGTGGAAATGGAATTCAAATTCTTGTCTACAACCATTTAAAGCACGTCTTTGGCCAATTCCATGGAAAATGAATTCTTATGGGTACGGTGGTTTTTTGTTTTCCAACTTAGGTAGAATTCCTTTTCCTTTTCCTCCTTCGCAATCAAATGGGGCTTTAGAGATAAAGTGAGTCCTACTTATACGAAAATAATTCAAAAATGACGATTAGAATGGAAAAATAATGGTCAAAAAATTAATTTTAATAAACTTAAAATCTATACCAAACAATCTATCACGCATTATTTGATTGCTTTTAGTTAACCAAATTATATCTTTTCTTGGGTACCAGATTCCAAGAAACGTCTCAGAGCATCTTCATTCTGTATGGATTCTCTCCTTGTCTCCTTAATGGGATACAAGGTTTCAACGCGAAGGGAGACTTGAGGAAGTTTATAAATGCTGTGAGGACCATCAATCTGCTAGCATAACTTGCAAACTAGAAAATTTGATAAAAAGACGTGAAATGGCCGACGTGGTAATTTCCTTTGCTGTACAAAACATTATACCAATACTACAGGAAAAGCTGAGAGAGGCGGGAGAAGTTGAGACCGACGTGGAGAACATCAGATATGAGTTGGATCGAATGACGGCATTTCTCAAAGATGCTGATAGTGTCATGGAGGATAGGGACGAGAGGAAAGAAAATTGGGTTAAGGAAGTTCGCAATGTTGCACACGACACTGAAGATGTTCTCGACAAATTTGTGCTCATGATGAAGAATAATCAGGGCAGTGGGTGGTCCAATACTGTTCTTCAAAATTTTTTAAATTGCGCCGGAAATATAAGATTCCGTTCTGATATTGTTTCTGAAATCAAAAGCATTAATACTCGTGTCAACAGTATTAAAGACGGATGTCAGAAATATTTTGGCCTTGCAGGAGGTTCAAATTCAAATGTTGACGCCAGCATTGACGTTGCATATGATACCAGACGTGATGCCCTTTGGGAAGAAGCTGATCTTGTCGGAATTGAGGGACCCAAAGGCAACTTAATGAGAAAGATCATGGAAGGTGGTTTAGATCTGCGTGTAATTTCAGTGGTAGGAACGGTAGGCGTGGGGAAATCAGCTCTTGTTAAGAAAGTGTATGATGATGCAGCAGTGAAGAAGAGCTTCCAAAGTCACGCTTGCGTAGCAGTCCCTCAAGCCCTTTCCGACAAAACAAATATTGAAGAGCTTTTAGAGGATTTGATTAAGCAACTCTATCGTGAAACCATGGAAGCAGTCCCTCCTGAAATGAACACCAAGAATAAAAATAATCTGAAGGCAGGGATAAACCAATTCTTACAACAAAAAAGGTATGTGATTTTATTTGATGATGTACGGAGCATCCTAGAATGGAACGCTATTAAAAGTGCATTTCCTGACCACTCTAATGGCAGTAGATTAATTGTAACAACACGTGATAATGCTGTAGCTTCCTATTCTAGTGTAATGGAGGAGAATGTATGTAGGTTGGAGCCCCTAGCTCCAAAGCATTCTTTGACACTGTTTTGTCAACAGACGTTTCAAGGGAGACCGTGTCCTTCCCATCTGGAGAAAATTACTAATAATATCTTACAGAGATGTGGAGGGTTGCCGCTTGCTATCAAGTCTATTGGTGCATTTCTGGCCTCAAAGAGCAATAGACCGGACGAATGGGATGTGCTTTATCAGAGTCTTGGAGCTGAACTGGCAGGCACTCAAACACTTCGGAATTTGAATACGATCTTGTTGCTTAGCTTCAATGATTTGCCTTATTATCTAAAATTATGTTTGTTATATATGGCCATATATCCAGAATATCATTTGATAAAGTATAACTCCTTGATTCGCCTATGGATAGTGGAAGGTTTCGTGAATGAAATAGGAGGACAAACAGTGGAACAAGTTGCTCAAGGCTACCTAAAGGAACTTGCCAACAAAAACCTGATCCGAGTGGTGAAGTCTAAAGAGAATGGAAACATAAAATCTTGCCGCATAAATTACTTTCTCAGGGAGAAACTTCTACAAAAAGCAAAACGTCAGAGTTTCTTGATGATAGTTGGCAAAAATTCCAATGGTCGATGGGACAAAAATGCTCGTCGCTTATCAATCCATGGCTCGTGGGAAAACTTTAATCCTCAAATGTCTGGCAAAAAACTCCGTTCTTTGCTTGCATTTGGTGTGACTGATTTGAAATCCATGTCATCAATACTTGAGCTGCTCAAAAGTTGTACGATGCTTAAAGTTCTGGACCTATCAGGATTACCTCTAGAATCATTCCCAAAGGTAATCACCAAGCTCCTTCTTTTGAAACATCTATATTTGAGGCGTACAAAAATTAAATCAATTCCAAGATCAATAAAGAAGCTTCAAGAACTAGAGGCGTTGGATCTTAAACACTCACTTGTCACTGAGTTGCCCATAGAGATCTTACAACTCCAGAAACTGAGACATCTCGTAATAAGTCGCTATGAGGGTTATGTTGAACATTCGTATGCTCCAATGGAGAAGTTTCTTGGTTTCAAGCTACCGAATGGAATTGAAGCTCTAAACTCTTTATACCAACTGGCTTTCATTGAGGCAATCCCTGGCATAATAGAAGAGATAGGGAACATAAAAGAACTAAGAAGACTTTTTATATTCAAATTGGGAAGAGAGCATGGAATGATGGTCTGTTCATCCATTGAAAAGCTCCCAAATCTTCAATCATTAGCCTTGTTTCCAAAAACAGAAAATGAGATCCTTGATCTGGATCACATTTCATCCCCTCCTGCATCCCTTCAGGAGCTCTCTGTGTCAGGACGTTTAGAAAAATTTCCGCATTGGATAAAATCTCTCGACAACTTGGTTAAAGTTTATTTCAGGTGGAGTCGGTTAAGAGATGATCCACTCCAGTATCTCCAAGATTTGCCAAGCTTAGTCCGTCTTGAAATTCTTGATGGATATGTTGGAGAAGAACTGTGTTTCAAGGCGGGAAAGTTTCAAAGTCTTAAAAAGTTATACCTTGACACGTTTGAATCTCTAAAACAGGTGATAATTGAGGAGGGGGCAATGCCAAATCTGAAAAGGATAAAGATTCAACGGTGCAAATCTCTTGAAAGTGTTCCATCTGGAATTGAATGCCTTCCCAAGGTGGAAGTTCTTAAACTTTTCTACATGAGCCCAGAGTTCATTGAGAAACTGTCTCGTGAGGATAACCATAAAATAGCACACATTTTCAAAGTACTGCTGAAGGATGATGTCAAGAAAACTGAAGATGATTGAGTTTTTAATTATCTTTTAATTATTATTTTATTAAATAAATTCAGATTTTATTTCCGTCCTTTCGGATTAATTCTGAATATTAGGAATTTTAATTTTTATCATTATATAGATATGATTAATTATCTAGATTTTAATCTTTATCTAATTTTTGGTTATTGCTTAAAATAAATGTTGTAAGCTTTGATGGCAATAAAAATGGTTTTTTAAAAAATATAATAGAGTTTGAAATTTTTCGGCCTTTTAAATTCTTGGTATTTGATATTTAAAATCAACAAGTCCAATTCCCCTGTATTCATCCGCGAATCAAATAGTTTTGATGTCTAGATTCAGACTTTCTTAGGAATTAATAGAAAATAGAAGGTGATCGTGTTGTAATATTCGTTTAGACATATTATTGTATCTCTTTCACCCTGCATTAGAAACTCATACATTCGAGACCAAGAATGAAATTAGTACCCATTATCAGTTTCTAATGTAATTCAACCAATTTGTTTTAACTTAGAATTTATGATACAATTGACTTTAATTCATCAAAATACTACGCAATATACTGTATTGTTGAATATGTGAATAAGAATATGCATTCACAATGTCAAAATAAAATGGACTTCAGTTATAGTTTTGCAAAGATGATTTCATTACTTTGTCGATTTTTTCACAATTTTTTTAATTCTTCAATAAAGCGAATAGCTAATTTATTCTTATTTAAAAAATATGAGTCCTGTAAACATTGTCTTCTCACTCACGTTAACACCCACTCACTTGACGAGGTAGGGAAAACTGATGAAAATTGTTGCTTGTACTCGATTGGGGTCTCAAGGTATAAATTTCCTGATGTCATATTTAAAGGCAGCATCAAAGTGTTTCTCTTAGGTGATCCATTAGCAGCTAATTCACTGTTTGTGAAGCTTTTCGAGAAGACTACTCAAGTAATTGTATATGGTCCCACTAATCATTTATAGCATAGAAAAATTAACAAGGCAGAGACTTAGTTTATATATGGTCACACTAATCATTTATATTATAGAAACTCTCTACGTTTGTGCATAAGGGATGTGCAAATGGCGAACCGGATTAGCACCTCGGGTTATTGAATTTGTGTGTGAGCGCAATCCGCATACACGAATGTCAAATTGAAATTGACCCCTTAAAATGGTCCACGTTTTGCCTTTATTTCATTTTTCTTTTCTTCAAGTGACTTTTCAACTTCTTCAATTCATAAAACTCTTTTGTTTCACAAGTTCACCATATCATCTTCTTGATTGTAATCACCAAATTCCGACAACAATATATTATGTGTACATAGTCGACGACCTCTAAATTAGTTAATTTAGTTTTCTTAAGTTCAAATCAACCAAATTTCAATTTTTGCTACGTCGTTTAAATAAATAACTCATATTTTGACTCATTACCATTCATAAATCAATGACGTAATATGGAAGTAGCGTGAGTTGTCTGGAATCTGAGGGCTATCTTGAATAAAAGTCGACGGTTTAACACTAATCCTTTTATTCTTGCAAGTATCCTGTATTGATTAGTATAAAGTATGCTGCAATTATACTACGGTGACTTGTTGTGTTGCTGTTTTTGAGTAAATTGCCTAATAATTGAATGAACTGCTCACTGTTTCTGCTAAATAACTTGTTTTATACAACTTGCTGATTGTACACTTTATGTTGATTATTGTGTATGACATTTGAGACACTGCACGTTGTAAATAGTGTTCAAAATTCATGTAATCTGCCTGCACTATTAAAAATCAAATTGTGTTCTGATTATGTCAACTAAAGTTGAATTGGAAATCTTCAATGGTAAAGGAGACTTCAGTCTCTGGCGCCAGAAAATGCGAGCACTTTTATTTTAACAAAAATGTGCTAAAGCCCTTGATGAGTCATGGCCTGATGATATGGAAGAAACTAAAATAACTGAAACTGCTGAGTTGTGGAAAAAATTGGAAGATACTTATTTGAATAAAACTATGCCTAATAAAGTGTATCTTCTAAAATAATTTTTTGGTTTCAAATTGGACCCATCTCTTGATCTTGAGGCAAACATTGATAGATTCAACAGATTATCCCGTGACCTAGCCGACTGTGATGAGAAACTCTCAAAAGATCAGTTGGTTGTGATCTTGTTAAATTCAATAAGTGATAAATATAAAGATGTTAAAAATGCTTTGAATATGGAAGGGAAACTCTAACTACTGACGTGATAATAAATGCATTGAGAAATAAAAAATTAGAGTTAAAATCTGAAAAAAGCGAATCTATTAGTGGTGAAAATTTGATGGTTAAGTCCAAACCTAACTTAAACCCAAAGATGGCCAATTTCAATAAGAAATCTGGACACAAGAAGAAGGTGAATGATAAGTGTGATTTTGCACACTTATTTAGGTCACAAACATGACTTAATTATGAATAAAATGATCGAATTGTGACTTAATTTCATTATATTTGTGAATTGTAGGTAACACTGATGGACATGGTGAAATACACGAGAAAAGACGCGAAAAAAGACTAAAATGACACAAAGTGAGAGTTCAAGGACCAAGATGCAATTACTCAAAAGTTGACCCGATGAACAAATCAAGAAATTGAGTGTGCCAAATACGAATTGACGACCTTTTGGGATGATGGAATGTGAAGAATGAAGAAAAGATGGAAAAAAGTGGAAGATTAAAGTGAAGGGACCAAATTGCAGCAACTGAAAGATAATTTCTACCATGCGGTCGCATGGTAGAAAAGTCGTGTGGCCACACGAAGTGATGCAGGGCTTAAAAATAAAAATAAAAAGATGATAACCATGCGGCCGCACGGATTAAAACCATGCGGTCGCATGGTATAAATTCGGCGAGAAAATTTTCTTTCCTTATACGATTGAAACACCTATGGTAACCTAATTTTCCACGAGATATAAATACCAAAAACATTCCAGAGATGCCCAGAACGTAATTGGAGCCGAAAAACAATTCTTGAAGAGGATTTGAGCGCAAGAACAAAGATTGACACGAAGAACTTCAATATTTATCCAACCCGGTAATATCTTATATACAAACTTTGATGTATTTTGTTATTTTGAGCATGCTAGGCTAGATTTATTTATGCTAGGAGATCGATGAACCATGTGAATTGAAGTTTAATATTCTAGTTTTGCAATTTGATGTAAAACACAATTTCTATTATGTTGAATGATTTATATGCAATTAAATGTTTCCGAAATTAAGAGCTCATAATTGTGTGAATTTAAGTGATTTATTCTTGCATTCGAGAGAATTAGAATAGATTTGACATAGTATAAATCATCGTAGGGTCCGATAGTGTATAGAAATATACCGCTATGCTCTATGTGAAACTTTAAATGTTCATAAAATTTCATGCATTTTTACATATGCTCTTGTCATAGAAATATAGACCGGTGGTGTGTAGAAATAGGTTTGATACATCTCGAGAGAGAGTATTGAATAGACTTAGGAACATTGATTCGTCAAAATCGAAATGTGTTGTCATATTGTGAAACTAGGGTTTAAAGTGATAATTGCATGGGAATTCGTGATCCTAGCGTATTTCATTCCCAATAATTATAACAAGTGCGTTCTCAACTTTTAGATTTCATTCTCGAGTTTAATTTATTGTTTTGCATATTAATTTCAATTTAATCATAAGTCAAAAATTGCATAATTGAGGTTCAATTAGGTCTACATCCATTTTGGTAATTTAGTTTCGGTTAAGGCTAAGATAGATAAAATTTGAACTAATCAATCTCTGTGGGAC